TGTGATCCTTTGGGGATGCTTCCAGTCCCGTACATCGTTGTGTGGCTCCAGGCGGCAACGCCAGGGAAGTGCCATGAGACAATAATGAAATGATCTGGATAATAAACTATTATGGGCGATTTGCTATTAATAATAATTATATTTGGCGACTTTTAAGAAATATGCACCAGCCGGGGTACATGACGTTTGGAGCCGAATCGTATTTGTCGTGGGAGTGTCATCGGCGTGCTCGGGAGGTCCCCAATGACGTCCCCGCGGGGGCCCGGACGACATCGGCACTACCAGATTTGGACTCAGCGTGCGAGAAAACCCGCTCCCGCCCGCAATCGACCGGCCCCCGTTACTTGACAGATGTCCTAGGCTTACAAGTTGTTCTGTAACCCACCCATCGCAGATCCGAGAGCCGTGGCACACTACAGCCGATCCACGGCGTGGCGCGAACCAAGACTTGTTCAAAAATAAGATTATTTACTTATGTTAGTGAAATAGTGTAAGTTATTTCATTAACCTTTTTCCAGGCCCGGAACTGCAGTTAGGCACTTCGTTTGCCCCCCTGATGGTATCTGTACCTGATTTAGCTCTTATTTCAACAACTGCAACTTGATGAAATAACATAATGTAATTAACTACTTTACTCATTTTATTTACTAAAATAGATAAATTAGGTTCGGACAAACGAGCTTTGGACAATCGGAGCCGTCTCCTTTGAGACCGCCTAACCGAAATTGGACCGAAAACAGTGACGAATGAAAAGACAGGGGACAGGGGAAGTTGCACACTACAAGGAAAGCAGTGGAGGTGTATAAGATGCTTGTGAGTCTATGGCACAAGGAAACTCTAATGTACAAAAATAAAATGGACATGGTTAAAAAAATCAAACCTATATATTTTTTTAAATAATATGACACATACCCAACACTGTTTTTACACTGAACTAAAAGTGTTACATTTTCTTACACACAGGGAAAACTCATGAAAAAGACAACAGATTGCCAGTACTTAAGGTCACAACAGGTTATTGTAGATAAGATATAAAGGTGTATGCTATAAAATATTTTTTATCACAGTTCTGATAGCCATAAAAAAATGGCAAATTAAATGTTCTGGAAATTAATATAGCACAAATGCTAGAATGACAAAAGACTTTAAGAGAAAGAAGACTGGAGAGCTTAAATAAGTTGAAAAAAGCTACGCTACATACAGAAACTATACAATTACGAACATTAACTGTACTGATAAACTACTACCATTGGAACATATTTCAGACTTACTTTATAGGTAGACTTTGTGAAGTTCATTATCACCAAATTCGTAGAACAGAGCTCCAGAACTAACAAATTGATTAACAATCGAGGTAGAATAAGTGCTGTTTGGCTCTTCACAGAGCAAATACAAGCTATTTGGGTAAGTTGTGATGGCTTTTTATCATTGTCTTTCATATGCCTAGTGCCTGATCAAAATACCTGACAACTATATACTGCGGCTCTGTTTAATATTCACATTAAAAGAGTGGCTTCTTAATCCTATCTGAATCCTCAAAGACAATTGGGAATGACAACATTTTCAATAGAGTCAAACTTAAAACAGAAAAAAAAAAACCTAATACATCAGTTAGCAATATAGTTGCTACAGATAAAATATGTGATTCTCTCTTATGGATCCCCGCAACATTTTAACTCAGACACAGGTCTTAAAGATAAAATGTATGTGATATAGAACCATGAACAAAGAAAAAATTAATTGACTGAACTGTGTGTTCCTGATAAATTAATATCAGATAACTAACCATTAAATGTGATTGAAAAATCCGAACCCCCATCAATGAACAGTGCAAATGAGAAAATAATTTCTCCACATTATGAATTTAGACTAATAGATGAGGATGTTTACAAACAGAAATTAATACCAGCAATATTTCTCCAGAGCACCTTCATAACCAAAGCAAATTAAGGAAATATTCAAGATTTGAAATATTTTCAGCACAATCTCTATCAATTCTTTTGAATGTATGTTTTGGGTTGTTGATCATCTTGGGTATTTGGTCCAGGAGAAGCTCTAAGACATTGAATGTCACTGCTTTCTTCCAATACTGATAGACCTTTTACCTCTGGCAACTCAAAAACCTGCTTACCTCAGGCTGCTGCATAACTGAAAGGCTGTAAGCAACCTTCAGTCAGTAGCGAAATCCTCTAGTGGGGCATTATTGCAACATACCATATCAAAACACATCAGCATAACCGTTCACAAATTACACCAACAACAAAGTTTTGATGGGAGGTAGTGCAGCCCAACTGAGGTCCAGATGCAATACACACAATTCTGTTTCCACAGAAAAGGTTCAGTAGTTTCATACTGATAGTGTGCATGATCAGTAACAACGGCCAGCATGAACCCATAAACACATACATTATTTACAAAATTGCGTTCTTTTGCACTTAGTACACAGAAGTTTCTTTAAAAGATAATTAAGAAGTATTGTATGCAACTATAAGTTGTGGCATACATAAAATCACCACACATGTGGGAAGTAAAAATACTAGATGCATCTGGAAAAATATTGGAAGCACTTCTTACAGTCCAATGGAAATCTTACAAAAATCACATAAATTCACGATCTTTGATGGGGATTCCTTCATATCAACTACAGAAATTTGAATTATTATTATTATTTTTTTTCAAGTCTACTCGAAAGGTAAACAAGAGATAAGGCAAGTACTGAATCAACCAATAAACAGACAGAAAATTTAAATTTCCAATACCACTAAGCTACTTGCATTTACGAGAAAAACAAACCAACAGAAAACAACTAGCAATTGACATTAAATTTTTACAAAACAGATGGATTTACTTGACGATTGATGATACAATTATCGAAGTATAACGTAGTCAGAGAATGACTGCAAACCTTTGCCTCAAAGGTATTTTCTTAACAAACATAAACAAATGAAATAGCACACAAACAACATTTCTAAAAAAGGGTTCTTTTTTTTTTTTGTAAAATAATGACAAGGAAAAAGGCATGGTTGCAGCAAAAGACACAAAGTTTTGGCCATGGTGACAATCTTACAGGGAAACAGGAGTTGCACACTATGTTTTTCAACAAACAAACAAAAAAAAAGTCTGAAAACTAAAAAAATAGTCAAAGAAACCCGGATTTGAATTAGAATGTATAAATTACTGTGAGAGTAGAACACTCTGAGAAGAACGATACCCAACCAACCCAAATAATGAATCGTTCACCATGAAAACTGAACAGATTGACCATTTGGAATCCATTGAACCCAAATTAACATGATTAGAAGGGAAAACAAAACAATTGAAATAAATAAGTGGACCTTGAAAG